ATTGATTGGCCGGTAGTTACTGACTTCAGTTTTCGAGCCAGATTTGTGTTTAGGCATAATGAATGTCTTCCATATGTCAGGGTAAGTTTGGGTTTCTAGGGACATTGTGAATATTTTAAGCAGCAGTAGAGGAATGTCAGGGCCACCATATTTATAGAAGTAAGATGATATACCGTCGGTACCGAAACCTTTTGAACTTTTGAGGGTTCTTATAGTTTGGTTAATATCAGCGTAAGTGAATTGAACAGTGCTAATTTGGTTGGTGAGTGGAGTTGGAGTTTGTGCCATTTTAGTAATAGGGTGTATATCGAGTAGCTGGACTGAGGGCTTAAGGTAGTTACCTGCAAACGTTTTGTTGAATAGTTCACATATGTCTGCAGAGTTAGTGCATAGCCTGCCTTTGTCTATGAGGAGAGAAATGCTGTGATTTTTGCGATTCATTCGCTTCCTTAAGATTTCTGTGAGTGCATACACTCTAGCAGGACTGGCTACTGCGATGCGTTCTTCCTTTCTCATACGGAATCTTGAGCTTGTGTGATGGAGCTAAGGGTTTAAGTATTAGACCTAGAGTGCCAAAGTCGTGGTGTTTGAAGTAACTTGTTGAGAGTCTCTTCAGTTTCTTACGATCCTTTGGTTTTATGAATGACTTTCTGTGTGGGGAAACCTTTAGTGTTTGGAGTGGAATGACAGCATCTAAGCATATGTTTGAGTTATGGTAGAAGATGGTTAGGGCTCTCGATAGGTCATCAGTAGTGAAGTATTCATCCCATTTGGAGGATCTTAGCATCGATTCAACTAAGGCCCAGTTTGCCTTACTATAGTTCCTATATATTACTTGTTGTGAAGTGGAGGTATGAGATGCATTGCTACTCAGCGGAATTGGCAGTGCACACATTACTGTTTTGTGGTCGCTCCCTGGGAAACTCAGAACCTACTAGCGTTGAAAGGGGGCTTATATTGTGGCAGAAGATTAAGTCTAGTACGTTGTTACCTCTTGTGGGAGTAGTGACAGTTTGTTTCCAGCCAAGTATATCCAGTGTGCCTAAGAACTTATCAAATTTAGTTGGACCTGTGGGTATATCCCAGTTGATTTCAGGTAAGTTAAAGTCCCCACATAGGATCTTATGATCGTATTGTAAGTCGGTTAATTGCTCCAGAGTATTAATAAGTTGGGTCTCGTAATTACTAAAGGTGCCAGGTGCTCTGTAGGAGCATCCAATTAATGCTGTTACGTTATTTAAGTGTACATTAACCCATAGAGTCTCAGGCATGTTAAGTGTACTACTTTCTAGCTGTGATACAGTAAGTGCATTCAGAAAGTACATGAGACAACCCCCTCCCTTACCACCTTCCCTGTCACACCGAAAGTGTGTGTAGTTATCTAAGCTTATTTCTTCATCCAGGATGTCCGAATGACACCAAGATTCAGTGATGACAATTACAGGGGGTTTGTATATTACTGTGAGTGCTCTGAGCATCGGCAATTTATTTAGAACAGATCTAGCATTTATGAGGATTACGTAAAGATGAGAGTTGAAGTAGCATTTGAAGTATTTAAGTTCGTTAGTCAGCCCCGAATATGGTTCAGCACCCAGTAGTTCTGCTGACATGACAATCCTATGTTAAGAGGAGTTCCAGCATCATGCTCACCTATGTCTATCGAGTTGTTGTGTGCTGTTTTCGGTGGAGAATTAGGAGTTGGAGTACTGGATTTGCTATAGACTAAGGAACTTTTATTTTTAGTTAGGTTACAGAAGTGGGTAGGGTTCTTTATTTGGCCTATACTTGTGCAAGTGTCAAGTGTGTCCAATGGATACGGGTGCACTAGACCGTTCCTGTTTTCATGCAAGGAGGGAGCCAGCACTAGTGGTTTAGGAGTGTTAACATCCCTACCAGCTGTTTTTTCAACGCTGACAGGGACGCGGGGGATAAAAAATGATTGGATCCTTGTGATGACCATGGCTTATTATTCCACCTATTGTTTGATGCTAGTTGTGTCCTTGTGTGGGTTTCGTGTGTACTGCATTGTGGGTTAGTTCCCAGCAGACTTGTACCATATATCCGGTCAAAATTTGTTTGTGTGCCATACTCTGAAGACCCTGAGTTGTTGGTAGCCGAGTTCTGACTATTACCACTTGTACTACTGAGGGTGACATCGTTGTGACATTGGATATTAGTGTGTGCCACGGTGCGATTTAGCACGTTGTGAGTGCTAATACTATTAACCGTGGGGAGTGTGGGCTTATTTAAGCTGCCACTGTTTTTGTTGGTATGATTTAGGGGCATATTTTCCTTATCTTTACCAATGGAATTATAGCTAGGAGAGGACAAAGTCGAATTTCGGGGGGTTTTAACTTTTTTTCTGGGGTTATTTAGTGGCATTTTAGATTCTGCGGTGATGGGTGGTATGGTTTTATTATTTATTTGGTTACAGTCTAGTGGCCTTTCGGCTGGTGTTGCACTCTGATGGGATATTTCTGTGTGTTTTGAGAGGGGTGATGCGGTGGGGTCTACTGTATCTTTCACAGGGTTGGGAATAATGGCTGCTTGCAATGTCCTATTACCTATTTCACAATTAGTCTTAGTGAGATAGTTGTGTGCGCGCCTTTCTATAACTGTTTTGTCCACCCCGACCTTTATATGTTTGTAGTTTCTGGCTTGCGATAGGGTGTGTTGGGAGTGAATGAATTTTCTGGTCTCTGCCGGTGTTTCGAACTGAAAACGAATAGGACAACACTTTTCATGTTGACTCTTCTTCAGCCTGTAGCACTTAGTCTTGGAGTTAGGCATTTTCGCTTCACTAAGTAAGATGCGCTGTACCTTTTTTAGTGCCTCATTGTCCGGAACGTTGTAGACAATAGCACTCAGTTTTGCGTCGAGTCGTTTTGTTACTTCTGTGGTAACAAAGTTAATGAGGTTATCTACCTTAGTTACCGATTCTGTGTCAAGCTTGTTAAGGTTTACCGTTTTCATGAGGATAGTTAGAGGTGTCAGTTCACAGACCTGCGATCTGATATCGCTGATCTGATCTGATAATTTGGATATCTCGGTATTGGTTTCGATGTTTCCAGCATTTACTGACTTACTGTTTTTTATTTCCCTTAACTCAGCCTTAAGTTCTCCTATAGACAACTTTAGAAGTTCTATTTCTGAAGATAGTACTGAAAAAGAGCTTGATGGCTGGAGTTTCTCCATAAGCACATAAGGTGAAGGGAGGAGTTCTGTATGAGCAGAGGGTACCGAATTTTTAGGAGTAGTGCTAATACTGGCTGTCAGTACAGGTTTATCCTCAGTTTCAGCTCGACGCTTACGGCATACACGTGAGTTATGTGACTCACTATAGCCGTTTGTAGGGGTTTTGTGGCTTGATGTAGCAATCAAGGACGCTAAATTAGACACCAGTTTTACAGGGGATTGGGTTCATTGCTTTTTACTTCGATTAACCATAACTATTAGAAATGAGAGCTAGTGGTTACAAGTATTGAAGTGGTATAGTACTTGTGCATGTACTACAACAAGTTAAATTTTATGTAACGAATCACGTAAAAATGTAACGCAAACGTTGAACGTACCGCGATACAGCTCTATGGTCACATTGCTGTCTGCAAGAGTCATTCTAGCAAGTGGCGATTGTGTTGCAAGATGTCAAGAAGATGCCTTTAACTGGAAGGCGCAGGTCGTCATTGATGTGTGAGATTGTGCTGTGAGTATGCTTGTGATGTGTTGGCTTTACTGTTTGTTTTCCATTTCAGTTCTGTCCGTGTGACCCAGGTTCTCGCAATGGAATCCAAGTCAACGTGTATTGGTCGTGAGGAAAAAAAGGGATGGATCCGTTTTTTGCCGGGGAGTGTCAATGTATTTGAAGATTGAACGATCAATTCATGGTTGTTTGCTCAAAACCAACTTCCTTAATGTTCGCGGAGACATCAATACACCAGTCATCGTCTCATCGGTCGCTGTTCAGAAAGAAGTCAGGCCAAAACTGTCAGAAGTAATATTGTGATTTATTATTGTAATATTTGTTCATAGACCTT